AAGCCGTGGAGGGCACGGCAGGGCCAGCAGAGGGGGAGACGGCATCCGATTCATCATCATCATCGCAAACGGCCGGGTCCGCCGGATACGCAAAATTCGTGCATGTGCCGCGCTTGCAGTTAACACAGTTAGTGCAGAGGCGCTTGTGATTCCGGCAGTCACATCGTCGGCTGCATGTGGACAGCGCAGACGTCCCTTTCTCGTTGCATGCGCAACAGGGGGGCCCGCCAATAAATATCCAACCTCTGGCCAAGTCAACATTCATACATCCAGTCCACATACGAACAACACACCACACCGCAAACAAAGTCTACCCATCCAACATCCCCCTCGGGTTTAGCTGAAGCACCCAATGAGGAGGGCACATCCGCCCCAAACTAAAACCGAACAATTCCTCGATGCTCTTCTGCGTGGAAATTCTCCACTCGTAGGCTTTCTTTGGCTGCTTGCTTGGGTCGCCGCAGAGCCAGACGGACACATTGACTTTGTCCGAGGTCTCCGTCTGCTGGTCTGCATGTACTGTCTTGCCCGTATTGCACAGGTAGCCCCATATCTCATCCACACGCCCGTCCACGCAAATGTAGATGAAGAGGTCGTATTGTGGCATGCTGGCGACGGAGGGGTTGACGAGGATGGCGACGGGCTGCGTCTCGTTGACAAACTGCGGCTTCTTCAGATAATTCTCGACCTTCTTGCTCAGCGCACCAATGTCGGCCGACCCATCCTTACGCACGAACACCTTGTCGCTCTTCTCGTCAGATGAGGGTCGAAAGACGCCTCCAAAGCGACACCCTGACACATCCACACGCATACAAAACATCGACACAGCCCAATGAGTGACCGACAGTGGATCGCGTATGTGTTGGGTATGTGTTGCAATGCAATCACCTTCGAGGACCCGAACCGGCAGCAGTGATTTCGCTTCAACCCCTGCACGTAGTCATCGACTCCCGTGATTGCCATCATAATGACGACTTGCACGGTCTGCATGGTGAGGGGGGGAGGGGAGATCCTCTTGAAGCGGGCGCTGATACAGTCGACGATGCTGCCGTTCATCACGTTGTACGCCATATGAACCAGCGCTGGCGTCTTGCCTAAGTATGACAGCTTGGCAGTCGACACGGCCTCTTCAGTCAGCTGCTTCGCTTCGTCTGCAGATCGGATGACAGGCAGCAGAGGCCGAACCACACTCCTGTCGCTCGGACTCGCGATGAAGACCGCCAGCCTGTCGCCGGTGCTGGTGTGGTGGCTCGTGAAGACAAGATAGCGCTGGTCCTTGTCGATAAACACGTCCTTCAGGAAGGTCGCCACATCGCTCCCCTCTGCCGGGAACAGCTCTGCTCCACCAATGAGCTTGTTCAACTCGTCGACAAGCAGGACACAGCCGCACCCCTCCCCCACCCCGCCCTGCCCCTCACCCAACCACTCTCGAATGGTCTCTTCGGAAACGATGACCTCCTTCAGCCACCTCCAAAAGCTGTTGCCGACCCTCTGTCGCGACTCATCCGTCGCCGCCGCCCAACCTATCCGCCACAGCAGGGAACACACCCAGGGGAAGCCGCCTTCGATGCCACGGTGGTAGCTGGTCAAGTCGTTGAATGTGATGTAGATGGGGAGGATCTTCTTCTCGAGAAGCCGCACTGCGAGCTCCTTGAGCGTCCGAGTCTTCCCACCCAATGAAAACCGGGTGAGGGCCATGAGTGGGATGCGTGCTCGGCGGCCCCTCGACGCGTCAGCGCTCCTGCGCGGGGAGGCCATCGTGTTGTTGTTGTATCCGTCCATCACCCGCTCCATCATTTTCTCCAGATCTTCTGTTCCAATGAAGGGCTTCCAGTCGTCGTCTGTGAGCGCAGCAGATGGCACGCCTTCCGATGGATCACGCTGCTGTATCTGCTGCTGGATCCGCTGTATCAGCTGCTCGAAAGAGAACAGGTCGCTCCTAGTGATCTCCCTCCGTGATCCAGCTGCATATACAAACATACATCGCCAGCGGTCGTACCTCTATCTACGGCGCTCTTACCATCGGGCAGAAACTCTCCCCTCATTCTTCTCTCCATCCCGCCCTCTTCCTTCTCAGCGTCCCGCTCCCGCTTGCGGCCGCCGCCCGAGCCAGCCGGCGCAGCCGCGGCATCAGCTGCAGCCGAAGCGCTGGCGGTGCGCCTGATGAAGTAGGTCTCGCCGTTCTTGAAGCAACCCATAGGGACCCACACACCTGAATGGGAACGAGAACCACAGACGGTCTAGGTTTTAACTTGCGGCTGGTGTGCTGTCTGTCGGTCTGTCTGTCTGTCAGTCAATGCCTACCTCTGCTGTCCTGCACGTGGAAATCATCCTTGATGCCGAAGATGTCTTTGACGTAGTTGACGAAGTCCTCTTCCTGCAGCGAACCAACGAATGAGAGAACACAAGACGATCAGGCGAACGGATCAGATCTGACGTGCCATCTACAGGCAGATCAGTCAGTTTATGTCACCTACCTGCCGCCACGTGGGCGAGACCATCATGGGGACTACTGCGCCGCCATCGCCGTCACGCACTTTGATCTCGATGGGAGATGACATCTTCCTTCGACACTCGTCAGCTGCTGACCAAAGCTGAGCAAGAGGAGAATGTCACTTTGGATCTTTGAGCTCGCAATGGATCAGCTCGCAACGAGACAAGGGAGAAGGGAATCGGGAGCAGGACAACGTCCCCAGTTCTCGCAGTTTGGGCATGCCGCTGCCTTTCCCCTTTGAGCAGTTCCCGCCCATCAGGGCGGTGATTGGCTATGGATCAGCCGTGTTTGACCAGCACGGACTGCAGGTACGCAATGCATTCAATGCACTGCACGCAGACGATGCTCATTCTACAGGCGATCTCTGCAATGGCATGCTGTCTGCCTATGTGTGTGTTGCGTGTGTGGGCTCAGGACGGAGGCTTATCCAACAGACTGTTGGATTTCCTCTTTGTGGTGAAAGATCCGGAGGCGTGGCACCGTGACAACGTCGCGTCGAATGGCGGGGACTACTCGTTCATCAGCCGGTTCCGCAGCGACCGTGTGGCGCAGTTCCAGCGGCTGGGCGTGTCCAAGGTTTACTTCAACACCATGGTGCCCCTCGACGATGGAAGGCAGGTGCGGCAAGGGCGGGACAGGCAGACCGATGTTTATGTTGCAACCATGCTCGGCGTGACTGTGTTGGTGTGTCTTTGTGGTCAGTACTGCAAGTATGGTGTTGTGAGCGAAGAGGACTTGCGGGAGGACATCGACACATGGTCGTCACTATATGTGGCGGGCAGGCTCCACAAACCGGTAGGCAGACGTGCCTTGGTAACTCATTCGCCTCTTCCCTTATCGTGGTCTGCCTGCTTTCTGTCAGTTTCTGTGTTTCTCGTCATCGGAACAGCCGATGGATGACCTGGAGGGCCTCTTCGAGAGGAATCGACTCGCGGCTGTCCGGGCGGCGTTGCTGCTTCATGGCCCCGAAGTGTCTGTCGGGCAGCTGCTGCAGGCGATATGCGGCCTCTCATACGGCGGCGACATCCGTGTCGGCATCGCAGAGAAACCCGGCAAAGTGAAGGGCATCGTAAGCGAAACCACGCACATACAACATGCACTCGATGCTGCTCCCCTCTTCAGGTGTCCGCCCAGGGTCTGGAGCTGCTCTCTCTGTACCTGCCCCTGCTGCGTTCTGCCCTGGTGCTGCCGCCCGACACGCACATCAGCCACCCGCACCCCCACCACCAGCACACCATGGCCGACACCCCACACCAGCACACAGAGGCCGACCCACACGCCACAGAAGAGGAGACCGAGCGGTCGGTGCCTGAAGGTGGTGAGGGAGGCGGCAAGCCAAAGGAGCCGCTGGATCTGCAGCTGCGTGTGGAGGGCCCTGTGGGGCGTGATGCGATGGACAAGGTCGCAGAGGTGGGCCGGCAGGTCATGAAGAGGCGGAGGGAGGTCTTCCCGCAAGACATGAAGGGGCCGGGGAGGGCGGGTGTGAGCGAGGTGGGTCTTGTGCTGGAGGATGATGCGTCGACTGGTGTCACGGAGGATGAGGTCGGGGAAATCGTGAGGAGCCTCCTGTCCGACCAACAGACCATACACGTGAGGGCAGGAGCAGACCGAAGCGGAGGACGCCGTGTGGAGTGGGTACCCTATCTGTTGATGTGCTGTGTCTGCCTCCGTGTGTGTGTAGAGGAGTAGCGAGCCCGAAGTTGACGAGGGCCTCTTCATCAACCTGCCTGAAACCCTCAGATTCAGAGCCAACGGTACGTAACAAACCAACAGACACAGCCATCTCATCCACCCAACCATCCACTCATGGATGGTGCGTGTTGTCCTTTGCCCCTTTACCTGTCAGGCATCTCAGCGTCCCGTCGGTTCAACCGGATCTTCAACCCCTTCTCCCTCCTCGACAAGCGCAACTACCTCAGGTCGCTCGGCTCCCCGCTGCCGTGGGAGGCCGAGGTCGTCAGCGACTCACTGAGGTGGATCGTCAGGCGCTCCTCCATGCAGCAGTCGGCCAAGGCCGCCCTATCTGCCGGGCTCGCGCGATTCGTAAGTGGCGCAGACAGAGTAGGGAGGGCGGATGTGTGCTGATGTTGCTGTCTTGTGTGTCAGGTGATGTATGGGGTGCGCAAGATGAGGCGGCGGCTGTCGTGAGTCGGGGGGGGGGGGGGGGGGGGGGGG